TACTTCCCACCAGGGTATTAGCATAAGGCTGTTTTCGCGGTTCACTATTTTAGCATGGTCCATGTATCTTAGTTATTTATCATCAGTATAATTTTATTTTTGCCGAAGTATTCAAAAGAAACACCCTAATAATCTCTAGTCTCTTAATTTTTTTGTTACACTCTAGTTTTTAAAAAAAAATTAAAAATGAATATTAAATTTTATCAATTTGCAGATATCAATTTTTGGAAACTGGAGTTTGTAGTTGATTTTTTTTCTATTTACAAGTTTTTGCTAAAATCAAAAACTACTTCAGTTTTGTAGTAAACTGTTTTCCAAAAATATTTTTATTTCAGAAAGTCAGGTGGTCAGGCAAGTAAATTTTATTTATAAGTACTTTAAATTTTAGGAAATTTTTATTATAAAAATAGTTTCACATTCAGAACTATTAACAATTGAAATAGAGAGCCCTCAATTATAATATTATTAAAAAACATATTCTTTACTATTTCATGAGAATATATATTTTAATCCGAACCTGGGAATCTTTTAACCAACAGACAATTTTATCGCTTATCTACAAATCGAACAATAGTGATAATGAGGGTCGTTGGCTAATATGATTTATGAGAGTCACTAGATCTCTGGTTTTACTATACACTCAGCCGTACGAATAATGGGGATGAAACTGTATAATAGTAGGAATTAAACTTCAAACTAATAAAATTGTTAAAAAATTAATTATGGTAAAGAAGGTATTGAATGCATCTAAAACATTTTTAGAAGGGGAATATGCTCTAATATGTGGAATCTCCAAAGACGATTCAAGAGATAAACTGCCAAGAGGGAGAGAAAATATATATATACAGGGTGTATCAACGATGCGTGGGTGAACGATAGCTGCTTCCCTATATGAGATAGGAAAAAATGCTTCAAATAAAAGTTGTAGAGGGCATTGAAAGCTACGTTCCAAAAATAACTATCAATATACAGGGTGTCCGATAAATGTATGAGTTATCGAAGTAATGTTTTTTTAAAGGAAACACCCTATATATTTTTACTCGATTAAATTTCTTTGGAAGAGTGTTTCTCAAAAATATAGGGTTGTATGGGTTTATACTAGGTGGTTAGGAATTTATGGTGGGATTTAGGTAACAAAATGGGTTTATTCAACATCAAATATCTCTAAATCAATAATTTGGAATAAATTTTTTTTTCTGTCGAATATTCTCGAAAATAGTGTATTTTCATTTCCTATTCATAATTTTACCGAATGGCGCTTTTCTCATACAGGGGCAACCAAAACCCGGGACCAATTTTTTCTCAGTTTTTTCAAATGGAACACCCTGTAAATGAGGCCATACCAGGATAGCCCATACCATGAGCTTTTAGAAAATATAGGGTTTGCCTACTTGATTTTTATCGGAAATGTATCCAATTCTTAAGGAAAGTATAAAAAAGTTATAAAAGCAATAACTATTTATTTATTTCATTCGAAAAAGCATAAATTAATCTCCCATTTTGAGCTATGTACAAATTAAGTCTATCTACATTTGCTCTTCTAACTTCAATTAAAATTTATTTTGTAATAGAGTGAAAAACTTCTCTAATTCTATTCTTCATGTCTTCTGGTGTCGTTGGTTTTTCGCGGTAGACTTCTCCTTTAACATATCCCCAGAGATAGAAATCTAGAGGCGTGAGGTCTGGAGACCTTGCTGGCCACTGAATGGGTCCGTTTCTTCCTATCCATTTATTACTGCGCCATCTGTTTAAAAACCATCTTACCTGATTTTGATTGTGGGGAGGCGCGCCATCATGTTGGTAATATAACCTGAGTCTGGTGTTAATAGGTACATCCTCCAACAAAATTGGTAAATGATCTCGGAGAAAATCTCTGTAAATTTCCCCATTCAGTGGACCATCAAAAAAATGTGGTCCTATGACCTGATCCCCAATTATGCTCCCCCAAACATTTATCGACCATCTATTTTGGTAATCAATTTCTCTGACCCAATGTGGATTCTCTGTTGTTCCCATACAACTTTTATTTGAAGCATTTTTTCCTATCTCATATAGGGAAGCACCTATCGTTCACCCACGCATCGTTGATACACCCTGTATTAGGATGATGATGATGGTCCTTGAGCCGAAACCGGTAACCTCCATGTATATTTGAATCAAATTGAAATAATAAAAAAATACAAAACAAAAGGTACTGATTTCGAGTTTTTTATTGTCGTTTATTTTCTATATTACAAAGTTTCCTACTATTTAAAAAGTATGACCGTACTGTAGCTCATTATTGCGATTACACCTTGCTTACAATTCCCAAAATTGTCAATTCCCTTTAGCCCGATCTACTTTTATACCTGTCAGTGAAAGTTGGAAAGGATATTGAACCTTTCGATTATGGAGCTGTTAACTTTCGAGTTTGGAACATAATAGGGGTTGAAAACTTATAATAAAAGCTCGGATTCAATCAGATCAATTTAGGTCAGCCAGGTAGTGGGTAGATAGTAGATGAATGATCAATCGAAATGAAAGGATAGATACAGGTGATAAGAATGGAACGCAATTCGGTGGATTCCTTTTTCAATAGGCGTTCTGGAAATTTTAATAATATTAAATGGAACGATTATAGAAAATTGAATGTATTAAAATCAATTATTGAGTAAACTTATTTCGAAATTCGTATAATATAAAATTTGTTAAATAAGTTTATTAGAAAATAGTATCATCAATAGTAGGATATTTCTCCTACTATTGTTAATCCCATCTTAAACATAGACTGGTAAATTCAAAATAATAATAATCATAATAATAATAAAACGTCTTTATTAAAATTTTTGAAAATTACAAAAATGCAATGTAAGGGCGAGATTTAGCCTACAGCTATTCTTCCATCTAACCCTTTTAGTAACAGGATCGATAAATAATATTATAAAATCAAAAACTATAATAAACCTATAATAAAAATTAAAAAAAAAAAACAAACATTTAACTAAACTGTTAATGCAAATAAATAATAATTGAATTACATATTAATAAATTAAACTAAAAATAACACAATTTGTATACACAATTTAATTTGATCATCGTTGTTGATGAAGCAGGATATTTTTGAGCTTACGCTTGAAACCAGTATATGAATGAGTATTCTTTAAATCATTGTCAAGTTCATTGTAATATTTAATAGCACAGTAA